CCAGGCGACAGAGTGAGACTCAAACTCAAACTCAAAAAATAAAAAAAGAATGAAACTAGACCCTTATCTCTCACCATATACACCAATCAACAGAAAACGGATTAAAGACTTAAATCTAAGCCCCAAACCTATAAAACTGTTGTGGCAGCTCGAGGAAATTGATACAGAAAGTAAAGCTGGAAAGGAAGAGCGGAGTTTCCATTTCCTAGCCAACATTCTGATTCTGCAAGTCAACTATAAGGAACATGTCATATTTATTCCTATATTCCTCCACTATACACATTATCTCACACAAAGTAGGTATTCAATACAGATTTATAGAATGAATAAAACACACATGCTTCAAGTTTGTCCAAGTGCGTGCTTAACAAGATTGATTTTGTCAAGAGTCCTTCTCTATAAGGATTTAATTTACATAACATATATTTTTAAAATGACTCTACATGACACTCAGAGATTTGGAGGGAAAAAAAGATGACACTGTTTTCTCTTCCTTTACCAATAAATGCTAATTGTCCTGGCTTTATATAAAAGGAAAACAATAAAATTTCAAAATAAATCATCTAAACTTCTGATGGTGACATATTTAAGACCAAATTCTGGAAGCATTCTTTTTGTTTTTGTTTTTTTGAACCAGAGTCTCACTCTGTCACCCAGGATAAAGTACAGTGGCATAATCATGGCTCACTGCAGCCATTATCTCCTAGGCTCAGGAAATCCTTCTGCTTTAGCCTCCCGAATAGCTAGGACTACAGGTACGCACCACCACATCCAGCTAATTTTTTGACTTTTGTAGAGAAGAGGTTTTGCTATATTGCCTACGCGGGTCTTGAACTCCTGAACGCAAGTGATTTTTCTGTCTTGGCCTCCAAAGTACTGGGATTACAGGCATGCGCCATCACCCTCAGCGTAGCATTCGAATTTTTTACAAGCTGTTCTCACATCCTGGAGTGGATTTTCTGCACATGATCGCTCCTCTCCCAAGGTCCAGCTTCGATCCTCCCCTCATCTTGCAGCTTTCCCTATTAACTACCATCTAGTGATCTTTCCCTTCCGCATACCTCTATATAATAACACAGAGCAGTTGACCTACACCACATTTCATCAATTCCAAGATGCATCTTTTTCACATTTTAACATCTTTCACATCAGGGCATTCCTTACAGTCATGCATATTGTCACTACTTGCCTGCACATACATAGGTATCAAAAGCATCCATACCCAAACTGGCAGAAAGAGTGGTAAGCAATGTGGAAGAAAATCTCAGATACAAGTGCAAAGATGATTATGTATTCTTTTAGGAAATGCTGCTTCATCAAAGTTCTTGATAGCAAAGTAGATGATACTGAATGAAAAACTAATGTCAATGACTGCCTTGAGACATTATTATAAAGAGTTGGACTTTGAACATGAAGTTTTAGGAAAATCTCAACCAATTTATTTTACCTGCATTTTCCTTTTGATGCATATAAGAGAATGAAATATAATAAAAATGTATGTTCAAGCCTAAAGGTTTTTCAATATGTACAAGATTAAAATTCTTAGGAAAAAGCACTGTATTAAGGTGTTTTCTTTCTTAGTTACACATAAAATCATAATGTATATAACAATCAATGCTGTTTCCAATTAATTGAAATAGAATACTCGTTTATTTTTTTCTAGTCATTTCTGAGAATACAGGACTGTAGACTCTTTAAAACTTGTTATTCTTCTCTTATCTCTCACATCACTAAGATCAGAGCTGGGCAGAATATTTGTTCAATATCTGTTGACTGGCTGAGACCTGTCAAGAAGCGGCAAAGAGCCCAGGGAAAGAAACCAGGAGGCATGGAATCTTAGGCCAACACGGGCACTGACTCACCTTAGCTAGGTAAGTACAACTTCTCTGAGTCTTAGTTACCCGACCTATAAAATAAAACACGAGGGAGCTAGACCAGCTGAGAATAAGACTAGACTAGACTTCTTACTTAAAGGAGTTTACAATCTTGCGAACTTAAGGAGACTTACTCTCAGAAATGACTTTCAGTGCTAACATTCCACATTTTTGTTTGTTTGTTTGTTTGTTTTTGAGTTGGAGTCTCACTCTGTCACTCAGACAGGAGTGCAGTGGCCGCTCCTGGCCACCGCAGCCTCCACCTGCTGGGCTCCGGAGATCCTTCCGCCTCAGTCTTCCAAGCGGGAACTACAGGCGCACGCTACCACACCCGGCTAATTTTTGATTTATCGTAGAGATGAGGTCTTGCCAAGTTGCCCAGGTGTGTCTCGAACCCACGGGCTCACGCAATCCACTTGCCTCGGCCTCCCAAAGGGCTGGGATTATAGGATGAGCCACCGAGCCCAGCCAACATTCCACTTTTAAAATTAACTCTGAGACAAGATAAAGTTCCTAGTCCTTATAATTCAAAGGCTATAATATAATCCTGACTCAGATCTTGGAAGGTAGGAATACAAACATTTTTGTGAATATTTTTAATTAAACACAATAAATATACCACTTTATAGTTACAGGTTAACAAATTTAAATATGAGGCATCAGGGTTTACAGGACAAGGACAGTAAGACTCGACAAATTGATGGTACAAAATTATTACAGTTTCTTCAAAAGTCACTATGTCTATTTACACAGAATTAACCCATATAGTCAATTCTCCATTACATAGCTTAGGTTTGTCAATTCTCCATTTCTTTATTTCTGCATTTTACTTCCAGTATTACCTTGTGGCTATTTAATTGCTTATTAACTCATTTTCTATTGAAGAAAATCAATTTAAAATTTTATGATTTACTATAAACCTTGATAAATTTAAAAATGCCCCAATCATATTCTACATATCATATCTTATGAAGTTAACTGAAACAAATGTACTACATAGCAAAGACAGAGCAAGACACACGAGGAACCTCTGAAGCTTCAGACGAGAATCCTTAAATTTAAAGAAGTCTCCTCTGCACTGACAATACAGACCCAGAACTGTTTATCTTTCTTTAGTTTTGAAAGAGATTCAAAAATGAGAATGCTGCTGGCTTATACGCTGATTCAGAGGAAAAAGCATTGCGCAAAAAGTCGAACAGAGCTCAGAAGGTAGATTTTTAATTTTAGGAGTCACTTGGCTTAAAAAAAAAAGAAAAAAGAAAAACCTATGAGCAATGGAATCTATTTAATGTGCCTTCTTCCTGTGTGAACCAAAGATCTAGCCATCATCCACTAATGGTTTAAACAAAAAACTCACTCAGATTCCTCACCGGATTGCCCCACGTGACTGCAGTAGAGCAGGCAGCAATCTGGAAGGTGAGGCTACAAATCCCCACCCATGCAGCTGGTGACACATCAGTTGGGACAATTTCACCAAAACAGAATTACAAATCTGTTGAAATGAGCTGAAACTAATAAAAGATACTGTGAAAATAGAAATTAAAAAGGCAGCGAGGGGGACGTAAGAACTCTGGACTCTGTCCAATTGTTTTATAAACCTAAAACGGCTCAAAAAACACCATCTACAATTTTTAAAAGTAGAAGTCAGTCCCACAGAACGATTGAGAAGTGGAAACTATAGTCTCTTGTTTAATCCTGCGGCCTCGTCAACATGAAACTGCGTCAGCCAGTCTAGCGCAGGGGGATCTCATCCCCTCTGCAGCCATTGTGTTTGTCACTCATCGGACATCTGCCGTAAGGCTGCTGTATGGTTGCTTCATATTACCCTTCAGGTGGCTATGTGACTGTCGAGTCACAAGCCATCCTCTCGCCTCTGCCTCCCGGAGTGCTGGGATTGCAGGTGTGAGCCACCGTGCCCGGCAAGAGTTGCAGTTTTGGAAGCTCAACAATGACCTAATTATTTATGTTCTATCCCCGCGGGGCAATTTTAGAGGCTCAACCATGACAGGGAATTGCTTCACCTGCCAAAGGTCGCCACGCCCTGCTCTACACCATACCTTCATAGTAGAAGTATGAGACATCCCTCCATCTGTCTAGCCATTATCAGAAAAGAAACAGGCCAGCAAGGAAAACAGCCAAAAACCTTAGGTTGCAAATGTTTCAAGATAGGCAGGCACTCTTGTTTAGCATTTAATAAAGTATATCTAGAGCAATATAAATAATAAACTAAGTAAAAGTCACTGAAGGGCTATTAATGTTACTGCACGTATTTTAGTAGCATTATTATTATTACAACTTCTAAAACTCAAGGCAGAAGAGACCACAGTTGTGGCATCGGATCCATTTCCCAATCCATTCTCAAAGGATCGGGAGTTGCCCTCCTTACTGCTCTCATCGATCCTCCTCCCCTGTCCTCATGCCCTAACACAGGCCCCGCTCTGCCCCAAGTGCCTCCAAAGATGATCCAAACACAACACCCAGGCACTGGCAGTCTTCAGCTTAAAAAACCGTATACTCTTGCTGTCTTGCCGTTCTCAGCTTTAGGTCATCCCAGTGCCCTCTTTGACTATGCTCAAAATACTGAGTGCTGTCTAAATTCTTTTACAGCTATTCTAAAGAGTATTAACACCTGCAAAACTGAGTTGCACATCTGAATCTCCTTCTCTTCCAATACACAGGCCATATGCATAAGCTACCACACGGAATCCAAATTCTAGCAGCACTGATGCTCTGAAAGCCCCTGGAGGCTACCCTAAAAGAGAAGACCCAACTCTGCCCTACCAACCTCATCCAGTCCATAAATATTTACTCAGTACTGCCAAGTGGAAAAGGCTCTGTGTGCCATGCCTTTCTTTTGTAGGAAGTTGTTCCTTCTCTCCTATATATAGTTCAGGCAGTCCTTTGGCTAACTCCTGTGAACGCTACTTCTTCCTCTCTCTGACTAAAGCCTCTCCCAATGCTTTGGTCCTTAATAACATCTCTATATTCGCCAAACTTCCCCAATTGTTATTATGTCTTAACCTGGTTTGGGCCTCAAACCTCTGCTGAACAGTATTTTTCTAATTATAGCGGAGTCACTTGTAGCTTTCCAAACACATTTTGAGATACATTTAAGTTTGTGTTTACCTTTGAGCAGTGGTTCTCAAGCTTTACCAGAATCATCTGAAAAACGTGTATATCTACAGTTTGCTGGGCTAAAGAGTTGCATTTCTAACAAGTTCTCAGGTGATGCTCATGCTGCTGGTCCAGGGACCATACTTTGGGAATCACACTGCCTTTGAGAATCCGATGAAAGCTATGAAAAAATGCACATACATATATAATTCTGAATGTTATTTCAAGGGGGGATTCACGGATGCTCATTCATAAACACTTTCTGCTCTATCTTTCATTCTGAGGAATGTTGAAGACATAGTGCTTCCTGATCTGACAGTAGGCAGTACTCATTATGGTACAGGGACATTCTGTCTGTGCCAACACCTCCTAAGAATGAGGGGGGAGTGATTAGTATTAGAAAGCCAGTTCTGTCCAGCGAGCTGCCCTCTTCAGCCTCATGTGGCTCTTTCACATGCCTATGCTTTTAATTTTTCTAGTTTAATTCTCAGAAACAAGACTATTCACTTAGTATTTAAAAGGCTCTTTGGAATGACTCAGACAAAAACCCTTTCAGTGAGGAAATGACCTGGTAGAAAGAACATACATAACCACTGCGTTAAGAAAGACTACACTGAAATCCTGATTCTGCCTCTCCTAAAGGTGTGACCACTAAGCTTCAATTTCCTCCCCAAGGGGACTTATAGGAAAATCATTTTTTCCCTTCCAGGTAAAAAGGTTATAGGAACCAACTATAGAGAATGAAAGAGGGAGTGGTTCTACTACTGAAAACCAGTGATTCTTATTTATGGTAAGGAATTTAAATGTTGGGTAGAGAGTAAACATTTAGATTTAGAAAACAAAAGGAGTGAACAAAGTAATTTCTAAGAGGCCTCAAGTCTAATATTTTATATTTATGGACTTCACTGGCCAGCATGTCATTATTCACTTACATTCTCTATATGTTCAACAGTCATTTATACTTCAATTTAACTCAGTATAAACTCCTGAAAAAGCAATTATAGTTTCTTTTATTTTACCATTCCATTCTCTACTTCCTTCCCTCTACATTGTCTAAGATTTCAACATCTACTAGAAAATTATGAATCATAATAGTAATAAATTATTCTCCTTCCCCCAAATAGGTAAAAAATATATTTTGTCAAGGCAGAAAAATCCTTTTGAAGAAGTTCAAAGTACTCTGCTGAGTACTTGCTTAACAGGTAGTCAGAATCCATTAAAGTCATCTTTAATCTATTCAATAAGATCTCTGAGGGCTTAGCTACTATATATACAGCTCAATTTTGTAGGTTTTATTTTCTAAAGCTCTGTCAGGTATTCTTTTCTCAATCTACAATCCTATTACTTTATTGCAAGAACTCTTAAACTGAATGTGAGTGAATTGCACAAATATCTATCAAAATTACCTAAAACCCTAGGTTCCACAAATATATAAACTGCCTAAGTACCAAGTAATTTCAACTAAACATACCTCTTGTAGAAGACGTGGATCCAGGCAGTCACCATCATCATTAAACATAGACTCCCAGCTCTCCTCAGTAGCAGTATCTCCCTCCACATGAGAAGTGTTCGTTCCTTTTAGTTCCAGGGATGTTTCCATAAATAACAGTTCTCCATCAGGCAAGGGTACTCCACATTCTATATTCTCTGAGTCATCTGCCTCCCTTGTTTTGAACTCTTCAGCAGTTCTTAGCTCCTGCAATGCTTCTGTTATATCACTGGTACTATCCAGAGCATTGCCCAAGGCACTGTCTGAAAGTACTTTCGTCCCATTTAACATACTGAGTTCAGAGTCCAAAAAAGTGTTATAATTACTACCAGCAATCTTCTTTATAGGTAAGGAGGAAGCACAATCTGACGAGTTTTCTATCAACTTTCCTGTTGACTCTGTAAAACTAGATGAAATATTCTCGGGATAAGTACCTGAGCAAGCAGTAGGGCTGCTAAAAGTTCCAGTGTTGCTCCCACTCCCAGCTGCAGGAGGAGGAGCGGCATCTGTGCTCACTCCTACACGACTTGTATCGTCACAGGCCTCGTCAGTTGTTCTCACCGCAGCTATGTGAGGGCTAGTAGCAGTTACATGATCACATGTGGCAGCCATAATGTCCATCATAGGTGCTTTACGGGTAACGTCACCGACACTCATAAGTCCATTATCTATGTCTATTTCATGAGCAAGGACAGCTGTATCAGAAGGTTTGTGCTTTACACATAACTCATCAGCAGTGCTGTCACTATCCTCACATTGTCTAATCGTTACTGGATCAACAATGCTACGTGCGCTCTCTGATTTGCTGACTACAGCCATTTTATGAGAGCTGTGACTCATGGTCTCGGGAAGAGAATCCATGCCTTTCCGACCCAAGATGAAACCTATACTATTGTCTTCATCATCTACATTCTCAGCCACACAAGTTTGATTAATGACATCATCTGGACTTCCAGGAACAGAAATAGGCGTGATGCCTCCACTGCTCCGCTTCAACATTCCATCTGATGTGTGCATGTCCTGTTGTACAATTGCAGACTCAGAGCCTACATTTACTGGTGTAATCATAGTCTCAGGTTTCAGTACAGAACTAAAAACTCCAGGAAACCGGGATACTGCCTCGACAACCTTGGCATCAGTTTCAGTTCTACTTTCCAGATCTCTGTCTTCAAGCGTCTCCCCACTTAGTTCGTGACTGCTGGAATCACAGAATTCCACATTTTGGAAAGGCTTGCTGAGCACCGGACCCTCACTCGTTTCTGAACGGGCAAGTGACAGACGCATCCTCTCATGCTCTATTAAATCCGTGGTTTCAACTTCCAAACACTCCACCTTCTTCGGTTTCCAATGTTTCTGTAAAGGTACATTAGGAATAATCCCAGCATTTGGGGCTCTGTGCTCATATCCCTGGGATAGTACCTCTTTGGATTCTGTGGTTGCTCTCTTAGTACAAAACCTATCTTTATTTCTCTTTTGGAGGCAAGTGTCTTTGCTTAATGTTGTTGACAGTTTCTTTCCTTCTCTACAATGACGCTCCTTTCTATCAGCAGTAACACTCAGTCTTTGAGCCTCAGGTTTGTCCCAAAAGATCTCTTTTTGGGAGTGGCAACCTTCTTTCTGTTCTTCTTTCACCACAGAATCAGGTGAGCCACAGCTCTTTTTGTCACCTGCTTCGAGGAGTATGGCACCCCGCCGAGCCTTGGGTACGTAGAGCGCCATGTCAGGCCTTCTGGCTCGAACTCGGCATCTCGCTGCTTCTTGCTGCATGGCACCTCTATCTGCAAAAAAAAGAGAGGGGGGAACTATTTAATTATCAGACACTCATTATACAAGGTATTGAGCCAAGAGTTTTTAAAGGCTGGGTAGAAAGGCTACTAATCCATTCTTAGAAATCCCCAAGTTAAAAAAAGAACATGGGTCAGGAGAGGTAGTGCACACTTGTAGGCCCAGCTACTTGAAAGGCTGAGGTGGAAAGATTGCCTGAGCCCAGCAGGTTGAGGCTTTAGTGAGCCGTGATCGTGCCACTGCACTCCAAACTGGGCAAGAGTGAAACTCCTACTCAAATAAAAAAAAAGAAAAGTGAAACCTGTCATAAAATAATTCATGCAAACAAGGACACAACTAAGGAAAGTAAATTCCAAAAGAACTCATGAGTCCATGAGTTTTACCCACATATCCTCATTGTCCGTGTTCCCCAAAACCCTTTACATCTAACTTCCAATCTCCTTTACTTTTTTGAATAACAGTGTCCTCTTAGGCTGAATTAAAAACAGATATAGCAGTGATAGCCACCTATCAAGTACGCATGAAAGACAACCATCTCCATATTCTAGGAGCTTAAATTTTTACAATGAAGAATATATGCAAAGAAGACTCCCAAAACTACATCTGCTCAACATAAATAAGTACACATAAATGATTTTTAAAAGTGACTTGAATGCTAGCTAGAAAATGAAATGACTAATCAAGGAATATTCATAAAAGTTGTTGCCTGTGATTTAAGATTTTGTAGAAAATAAAAAAGTAGTAAGAAAGAAAAAGATGTTACTCTACTAATAACATTTAGTCAAGTGACCTACTGTAAATTTTCACTGCTTCCAACGGTAACAGAACAGATCTTGGTAGGATGACAGAAAGGTAGAGATCAAGTAAAATGTCATAAGATAATTCACTCTAATAAATTCCTGACACCCTCTACCATAGTTGGTCGATGAAATTTAACAAAAGTTAAATAAATCTTTATCTACTATCCACTAAATACAAGGAAATGTGCTAGGCAATTTCATATTATTATCCTTTTAATCTTCAAAATAATGCCATAAAGTAGGTTTATTCAGGACACAAAGAATAAGAAGATACTATACACATAAAAAATAATAATAACCCATACACACTCAGATACACCCACTGTTAATATCTCACAACTAGCTGGGCACAGTGGCACACACCTGTAAACTCAGCACTTTGGGAGGCTAAGGCAGGAGAATGGCTTGAGCTCAGGAGTTCGAGACCAGCTTGGGCAACATAGAGAGGTAGGCAGTTCCATCTCTACAAAATAAATTATATATTTTATACACACACACACACACACACACACACACACACACCACAACATACATATGTATCTATATAGATACCACAACATGCATTTTGAAAGGAAAAGATAATGAGAAGGAAGGGGGGTGGGGGGAGGCCAACAAATCCTGTCCACTCTGTCCCAGACCTACAATTCCACCTGATTCAAAATACGTCCTCAATGAAGAAGCTCTACTCTCACGGCACAGGCTGTTTTCTCTTCAGCCCAAGGAATACTATGGCTCTGATCCTCAAGTATCTGCAGTGACACTCTTGCCTTTTTCTTCGGATGCCTTCATTAATATCCAGACCACCATTCTTCAAGGATTTTCTATCTTTCCATATGTGGAAGAATATGACTTTAACACTGAACCACCCAAGACATTTTCCAAAAATGACTGATTTTCAAAGACAGAAGTACTAATGAAGGAATGCCAGTGACATAGCATACCTTAGTTTCAATTTGTAAAACATCTAACAAAATATACCACGATGAAATTCTGGATATAAAATGGGGAAATGTGGATGATTTAATAGAACTGTTAAGAGGACTCACAACAGATTAAACAACAAAAAGGGTAGAAGTGAATTCAAAGGGAGGAATGTGTCCTCACAGCCCTTTTAAATTCAACATTTGAAATAATAATTTGGATATAAACATTGAGTACTTATCAAATCTGCAACTGGCATAAAACAGATCATCTTAATAAATACCAAAACTGATACAATTATAATTTGATATCATTTCTACAACCTGCAGTGAGCTGAAAGCAACATGAATATAAGGATATGTTCCAGAGTTTATGCTTCTGTGTTTCTCCAGAAGTCAGTACCAGAAACAAATGGTAGAAATCAAAGGAAAACAAAGTTTAACTCACTATATAAAAGAACTGTGAGAGTTTTCCAATGTTATTATCAGTGAATAAGCCCCGTTCCTAGAGAGTTTAAATAAAGGTTGGATGACTGACATACATTAGAGAAAGAATTTCTATTTATGAGACAGGTTGGACTAGATTAATTTTAAGCATTCTTCAAACTCCCATTTCTATGATTCTATTGCTAATCTGCAATAGACCTATCAAAGGCTTCAAATGATTTATTTTAAAATTATTATTATGTGCTATGGCTAATGACTTTTAAAACTCAACTTTTCTTTTTTGTCTCTTAATGCCCACATATAGTCATAATACTATTTTCTGAATGGGATAGCAATATAATAAATGTATATCATTATGTATTTCCTACCAAAACACTGAATTCAACTGTGCCATGACCAGTGGTGTGCTGATAAATGTTTAGGAGCTAGCTCTCCACATGTAGTCTGTAGTATTGGTTGATGTTTTTGTTTACATCACTAATGTCAATGATACGACTTCTTAGCTAAAATAGATAATTGTCTTTGAATAATGGAAGAATATATCCTCATTTTTTAAGTTATTCTTAATATAATAGCTAAAGACATGACACACTTTCATTAGTAGCATTTTCTCCATCATTTTAAGTCTAGACAATCAATAAGTAATAATTCAAGCACCAGTTTATGGCATCTGACAATCTCTGTGGTGTAAATATTCTTACCATGGCTAATTTCAAGCTATTAATAAGACATCACCAAACGTGAAGGTGAGAAAAAAAAGCACAGAAGCACTCCATTATATAGTATTTCAACCATAAAGTACAATGCACGTAAACAACTTTAAGAAACTAGATCATAATAAAATGTAAAATAAGTAGGAAGTGATCATTTTAAGTATTTATCACCTTTAACATTTTTTAATGTATGTAATTGTAAGCCTATGTAGTTTAATTTTTAATAATGGCTGCATTTAACAATCAGTTTGCAGGGTTCCTACAATTTTAACAATCAGTTCTCAGGCCGGTCAGAGACACGGCAACACACCACTGGCTATGACTATTCTTTCACAACTCAGACACAAAAAAGGAGGAATATCCCCATCCTGTGGACTTTCAAGGTACAGGAGTCCCCCTAACTTGCAGGGGAGACATACCAAGACCCTCAGATGTGCCCCAAACATTATATATACACCCAAAATCTTTTTCATACATGCATACTTACGATAAAGTTATAAATTAGGCACAGCAAGAGATTAACAATAACTAATAATAAAACAGAACAATTATAATATACTGTAAAAAAAGTTATGTTAATGTGGTCTCTCTCTTTCTCAAAATATCTTATATGTAATATTTTCGGGCCACAGTTGACCACAGGTAGCCGAAACCATGGAAAGCAAACCCACGGGTAAGAGGAGACTATTAGATTGCCAACTTAATTTACAGTCCTGTTTACGTTTTTATTCACTTATTTTGCAACAAGAGGCATGAAAAGCATTAAGGAGTAGGGCCGCCTGTCATACAGCTTTTTAAAACGTACCTTGCATTTAAAATTTTCCACCCAGCTATTTACTAATAACAGCAGTTGATATTTTTTATCTCTTTTAATACAAATTTACTTTTTTCATACTGTTCTATGTGTTTTTGTCAGTCTAATTCATTTCTTAACTGGAGAAGAAAATCCATTATTTGCAGCTAATTTATCCATCAGCATGCAATTCTGTTCAAAATCACATTTCTAAAGGGGATAAAAATTCTGATTTCTTTATAAAATCAGAGGACAGTCAATTGCCAACACAAACCTTTAAGATATTTTAGGCCAAATCATTTTTTATGTATTCTACTTCTGAACACTGGGATCATACCTGAGCACCTGTCCAACTGCTTCTACAGTTTCAAAACTCTCAAGAGAAAATGTCAGTAACTTCCTTTAAGTACTTCTCTAACCCATCTTCCTGAGAAATTGAACTGGCACAAAATAAATCGGGCATTTACATTTTTAACAGAATGTCAATGCTGTTTGTCCCATATCTGGTATCTAAAACATATGGATCCCTGTTCAATGAACAACAAAGTACTGGCACTTAAGGCACTCACTGGATAATTCAACCATGAATTGATTTGATCCAGTACTTACCAAAGGCTCACTTGAGACATCATATCTGAGAGAAATTGCCTAATGGGTATGCTAACTGTTCATTCTTTTAGAACAAATTCTCTATTTGTTAGTTCATCAGAATGCAACACAGCTAAGCCATATATGTAGTCTTAATGTTTTCTGGAAACTTACTTCATAGCTATAGTTACGTCACAAAAGTAAAAACCATATAGTGCCCTTACACTCTTTACCCTTACTTAACAACTGTTGATGGTCTCCAACATTTGCCTCATTAACTTGCAGTTGTGTACATTCCTCCCTCCCTTCCTCCCTGCTCCTCTCTCCACACATGCACAAACAAACATATGCACATATTTTTAAACCGAATCTTTCAGAGGGCTAATTCAGACACCATAGCCCTTTGCCCTAAATACTTCAGAGGGTATTTCCTAGAAATAAGGATATTCTCTTACACAGTCACAATAGTTGTCAATGTCAGCAAGTTTAACACTGATACAATACTTTCACCTAACATAAGTATTCTGATTCTGTTCATTGATCCAGTAATGTCCTTTATAGCTTATTTCCTCTCCAATACAGAACCCAGTTTAGGGTCAGGCACATTTAGTTGCCAAGTCTCTAGCATCTTACATGCTGGTACATTTCCACAACCTTTTGTTGTCATTCATGACACTGACACTTTTTGGAAGAATGGCTTTTTTTTTTGAGTCAGGGTCTC